ATATATTTGCAAAGATATATGCACCCCTATGTTTACTGCAGCAGTATTCACAGTGGCCAAGACATGGAAACAATCAAAGTGTCTTGCAATAGAGAACTGTATAAAGAAGATATAGTACATATACACGCAATGGAATGCCACTCAGCCATAAGAAAGGATGAAATACTGCTATTTGCAACAATATGGATGGATCTTGAGAACATTATGCTAAGTGAAATATGTCAGTCAGAAAAAGCTAAGAACCATATGATTTTACTCATATGTAGGATATAAAACTGAAACTGGTGAACACAAACAGCAGTGTGGTGGTTGCCGGAGGGAAGGGAATGGGGGGAGACGGGGGTCCTAATATAAGGTGACAGGAGAAGGTTTGACTTTGGGTGGTGGGCACACAGTGCAATATACAGATCCTATAACATAGAAACCCACACACGAAACCTATACGTTCATACTGACCAATGTCACCCCAATAAATTTAACAAATAAATACTTTTTAAAAGACTATCAAGGCCATAGGGAGCACTGAGGTTAGAAGACCCACCCTCTCAGAACCCACACTATTAGCAGAAAGCTAGAGATACACTCTCGGGAAAGGATAAATCACAGGAATGCTGGACTCAGGGACACTCGTCACAGCTGAAGGTGACGAAACTCCCTACTGATGACAGAGAGCAAGGCAGCCGCCGCCATCTGGAGCTGGCCGGGCATTCACAGCTGGGCCTTGGTGCTGTCCCACTGACCATACGGAATGTCAGAGAGCATCAGCATCAGACAAGGCCCCTCTGTGACCATGAGGGGTGAAGACAAAAGCATGACCACCTTGTAATCATGTCTGCGCACAAACAAAAACGCTGTCCAAGCCACAAATATAAGCAAACTTTCCTGTGTCCCAGCTCCTGAGTGACTGCTGCTTCCTCACCGAAGACAGCTTTAGCCTCCCTTCATCGCTCACTCTGACTTCCAGGTAAGACTTTTTTTGTTGTTATTAATCCTCACCTAAGGATATTTTTCTGTTGATTTTGTTAAAGAGTGGAAGGGAAAGGGAGAGACACAGAGAGAAATATCAATGTGAGAGAGACGCATCAATTGGTTGCTTCCCACACATGCCCCACCCGGAGCCTGCAACCAAGGTATGTGCCCTTGACCGGAATCGAACCCACAACCCTTTGGTCCAAGGGCCAACGTTCTATCTACTGAATGAAACCGGCTAGGGCTAGATAAGACTTATTAAGACACACACTCAGCGTTACCCCTGCTTCCTGTCAACATCCAAGCCAGAGTCAAGCCTCTCTCCCAACTCCCCTCCCGCCATTCTAGGCCAAGTCCTAGAGTTTTTCCTAGCAACCTCTTATTGAGATGCACCTCCTCGGTTCCCCAAAGTGTGGGTCTCCCTCGCAGCATTGATGTGAGTCCCTGCCCAGCCACCCTATGGGGAAGGGCACTGTTGACCAACTCTGCTCACACACATCACATTTTTAAAAAGTGATTTCAGAGAGGAAAGGAGAGGGAGAGAGGGATAGAAACAGTAATAATGAGAGAGAATCACAGATCGGCTGCCTCCTTCATGGCCCCTCCCGCACTGGGCATGGAGCCCACAACCCGGGCATATGCCCTGATCGGGAATCGAACAGTGACCTCCTGGTTCATAGGTCAGTGCTCAACCACTGAGCTATGGCGGCTGGGCCACATCA